TATTTTTATTCAACTTCCATTTTTATTCAATTTACTTTTCTATTAAACTTCCTTTTTTCCTTAATTTCCCAATAGATCGTTAAGGTATAGTGGTTTCTGGATTGAACTTCCATATTTAATTTTCTGCAACTTCCATTTTTATTTTTATTCAACTTCCATTTTTATTCAATTTACTTTTCTAGTAAACTTCCTTTTTTATTTAATTTCCAAATAGACCGTTAAGGTATAGTTGTTTCTGGATTGAATTTCCATATTTAATTTTCTGCAACATCCATTTCTATTTTTATTCAACTTCCATTTTTATTCAATTTACTTTTCTCTTAAACTTACTTTTTTATTTAATTTCCAAATAGATCGTTAAGGTATAGTGGTTTCTGGATTGAACTTACATTTTTAATTTTATGCAACTTTCATTTTTATTTTTATTCTACTTCCATTTTAATTTAATTTACTTTCCTTTGAAACTTCATTTTTTATTTAATTTCCAAGTAGATCGTTATGGTATAGTGGTTTCTGTATAGAACTTCCGTTTTTAATTTTATGCAACTTTCATTTTTATTTTTATTCTACTTCCGTTTTTTATCAATTTACTTTTCTATTAAACTTCCTTTTTTATTTATTTTCCAAATAGATCGTTAAGGTATAATGGTTTCTGGATTGAAGTTCCATTTTTAATTTTCTGCAACTTCCTTTTTTATTTTAATTCATCTTCCTTTTTTACTCAAGTTTCTTTTCTACTCAACTTCCTTTTTTTTATTAAATTTCAAAATAGATCGTTAAGGTATAGTGGTTTCTGGATTGAACTTCAATTGTTAATTTTCTGCAACTTCCATTTTTATTTTTATTCAATTTACTTTTCTATTAAACTTCCTTTTTTATTTAATTTCCAAATAGATCGTTAAGGTATAGTGGTTTCTTTCTTTTTTTTCTTCTTTTCTCTTCCTTTGGTGGTCTGCATGGTGAAGTATTGCATCAGTCATGAAGGTGGACTGATCTGGAGCAATTCTGCTGGTCTGCATCAGATCTGTCTGGATGCTTGTGGTGGTGTGCTCTAGATCAATTCTGGTGGTGTGCTCCAGATCTGTGGTGGTCTGCTCCAGATCTGTGATGCTTGTGGTGGCTGCAGCAGATCAAATCTGGTGGTCTGCTCCAGATCTGTCTTGCTTTTTCCTCATCTGTCAATCATCCTCATCTGTCTGGATGGTCATCCTGATCAGTCTGGATGCTTGTTTTGGGTAAACTGGTGGTCTATATTGTGAAATTAGAAATTTCTCAATTTTTGTAAGTGAAAATGTCGAATTTCACAATTTCTCAAATTGAGAAACTAAAAAAATTACAATGCTTAAGAAACTGCAAAAGTGCACACTTTCTGTATAGAAATTGAGAAACTTCTTGATTTTTAAATATTGTGAAATTTCTAAATTTCAAATGCTAACATTAGAAACTCTCCCAGAAAAAAGTGCAACAAATCATCATCATGGATTGTGGGCCTTATTCAAGATAATATAGTACTGAGAACACTATACATTTTGTTGTATGAAAATGTTAGTGTTTGTATTTATTTTGATGGAATATGATCTTCAGGTGGTGATGTCAAATGACATCGTTACAGAAGAAAAGAAATACAAATTAATAGTCAACTATATATGGTGGTGACTATCAACACCAATTCATAGTTTGTATTTATAGGTGACAGTCAACTATCAATACAAAGTATTAATGATCGATGTATCAAATTTATTAGAGAGCTGTTATATTATTATTTGCTTGTTTTAAACATTTTTTTATAATCACTGTTCAATACATGCATGATAAATATAAAGTAATATATTAGTAT